ACATCCAATGTACCACATATGACTTCAATGGGACTTGGTAATGGAGGCTCTTCACTCACTTCGGGGCAAAACATATCTTCTGTAGGATCACTGCCAAATTCTATTGAAACTTGTAAATCCAATCTACCTCACAATAATTCTGCACAAACACCAGAAAATCCTTACGTTTATGATACAGTAACTTCTAATTATAGGTAACTACACATTAAAAAGAAATATTAGTAACTAAATTAGGGACTTCAAAAATAAACTTAATAAAAATGAATTTTTGTAAATATATACCAAGAATATTTTGCAAATTTTCATATTATTGACATATAAATTAAATTATGAATATGGAAAGTGATTATATTTAACAAGGTTTTTATTTTTATTTTTACAGCCAACCACCAGTAACTTCATCACCATATGCACCAATAGAACCTAAGAGAGCGCAGGGACATCCATTAAAAAGTTTCAGTGTTCCCGCACCACCCACATCATCAACTCCAAATACTCCTAACACCAAGCATAATGGTTTGTGTTTATCAACATAATTATAGACCTCAAAATATATTTTACATAATATTCATATAATTATTTTAGATTATATATAAAACAATTTATTTTTTATTTTAGCTTCCCAAGGTATTAATCGACCACAAAATGCATCACCATATAAAAAACCTTTAATGATTAATAGACTGCAAGCAGGTATGTACAGTTTCTATTATTCCACAATATATTATAAATAGTTTTTTCATTTAGATATTAAAATTCAAAGAAATATAAAATTTTCACTCTGTTTTTTTGTAGGACCATCAGTTTGTCATTCATCAGATGAAGTTCAACGACTGGCTCCGAGCCACTCAACTGAGGAATTGCATCAAGAAATGGCTAATTTGGAAGGCTTAATGAAAGACCTAAATGCAATCACAGCCAATGAATTTGAGTGTTAAAATTTTATTTATTATGGTACAGTATTTTATGCAAAAGACTGTTAATTTATGTTATATTATAGTGTCATATACATATTGTAATATGCTTGTCATTTAATTATTATAAATGAAGTAAGACGTTTTTTTAAATGTGCTTTTAAATAAAAAAAAAGACATTAAATATACACATGGAACTGTTTGATTACTGTGATTATGTATTAAATAATCACATTAGTAATGATTAAGAGCTAAAAGGACCACCTCGGGTTTACTCTTTGCAAGTTGCATTTAACAATAAATATCAGGATTAATGGTTGGAGCTATAAGATTTAAATTGGGGTCCCAGGTTTGATAACTGCCTTGGGCAGCTTGATGTCAAACAGTAGTGGCATCGTGTTTTGCTTAGAAATACTTACAAAACTCTAATAAAATATAAAATACAAAAAGCTTATAAAAATGTAGATCTTTCAATGAAATGAGCACAAAATTTAGAAAAGAACATCACAAGTGCTGAGAATCGTAGATAAATTTATAAAGATCTTTTCACTAAAATCAAACAATAGTAAATAACAGATTATTTGCATAAAGAAAATAAGAATTTGAAGACTATATAGAAAAGTGCTCAGGTTATAAGATTTCCTGGGCGAAAATAAAATCTCTCGTGGTGAATAGCAATTTGTTATGATGATATATTATTTCATTTATTTAATAAGTATTTCTCCTTAAAAAAAATTCAATAAACGTATTTATTACTTAACTTCCCGTACAATAAGTTATAGTAAGTGCAAAAAAATCGAAAATGAAAATTTCAAGCATATCTTTGTTTTAAGGTCTTCTGAACATTTTGGAATATCTTAAAAAAAATTTATGTGTGTGTGTATATTGTATATATGTATGTCTGGATACAATTGTTCGTACACAATTTCGAGAGCATGGATCAACCGATTTGAATAATTAAAAAAAACATCCGATTCGTATTGATGAGGAGACGTGCTGATTAGATTTTGGCAAAAGCAGATCCACTTGTTACGGAGATACGTAGCAAAAAGAGCAAATTGAGAGAACGAAGTGTTGATAATAACCTACTTCAAAATATAAAAAGCATTTAAAACAATTGTTATTAAATATTTTGTATTGATTATCAATTATTTTCATTCTTCGAATGTTTAAATACAGTATGGGCAGTTCCAGAAATTTGCCATGCAGCGCTGCACTACTAGTTTTTATGAAAATATAACAGCGTATATTATTAACTTTGCATAGGGAAAGTTATATTAATCGCAATAAAAACGAAAATGAAATTTTTTATATATCTACGTTTCAAAGGTTCCTGAGCATTATGGCATACCTTAGAAAAAATGTATGTATGTGTATGTGTGCGCGCGCGTGTGTGTGTGTGCGGATACAAATTTTCGGCGACGATTTTATGAACACCGATCAACCCACTCTTCTTTTATCTATGGATCAACCGATTTGAATAATTCAAAAAACATTTGGTTCGTATTGATAAGGAGACGTGCTCCTTAAAAAGTGCCAAAAACTTTGTTTTTAAGAGAACGGAACGTCTGATTTTAATAATTCAAAAAAAAATTTACTTAAAAAAAGTAAAAAAATGCCATTTTGAGGTCAAAAATGGTCATTAGCCATACGTACATCAGATCATAGATAAACAAGTATATTTTATGGAGATTTTAATAATGTGTATCAATTTTGTTTACATTTCTATGGGTCTCGTAACATCGTTTGCTCGTTAGATGGCGACGCGGCGCTTACGCGCTTCGATATTGCTTCTCTATGCAGCTAAAGCAGTGCTTTGAAAAAAAGTTCAAAATTTACAAAATATTTCAAAATAAAAGAAATCCAAAAAATTTTGTTTCCAAAAAAGTCTTTTTTCTTCAAAAATTAAAAATTTCTCAAAAATCTATTTTTTTCAAAATTTAAAACAAATTTAATCATTAAAAAAAAATATTAACCATTTCGTTTCGTTAACTTAAAAAAAAAACTCAACGGCCGACCACTTGTTTTAAGTACTTAATCGCAACTAGCAATTTGAATCATTGAAATAATACATGGGGCCAGAAAACGTTTATTATCACATGGATAAAATTTTAAGCATGAGCTCAACAAACGTCATTGCCGAAATATAGGGTTGTCCACAAACCGCTAACTATAAGAAATATTCGATATAATTTTAGACTATGTTAAAACCGGTGAGAATGAAAATTTCACACAAGATTTTCGATTAAAGCGACCGAAATTGTGTAATTATCATTTTTTTGACATTTTTTTATAAAACTTTGTATTTGTATAACTGACTTTGTAGTATAAAATTACATACTAAAATATTATAGGCCTGCGGTAAGCGGTTGAATTTTTTTTAGAAATCAGTTAAGCGATTCTAATCACAATCTATGTCAATTATATACGTTTCGTGTTTCATAGGTAGCTACTGATTACAGTTGATTCCCACATTTTTAGAACACGAAATGGATAAAATGAAATGCGTCGAACAAATTAATTTAATGCATACAATTACAGATATTATAAGTATTTATCAAAGACATCAATTGGAAACGTTTTTTTTTTATTGAAAATGGAATAAACAGTTGAATATTTTATCTAAATAGCTGAATCTCAATTTTTATTGATTAAGTTGAATATGTATGTATACATCTCGGGAAGTTCATGCAACTTGCCTTAAGGCAAAACGCTACTTACAACTAGTTTAAGTAGTCACTTATTGTGCAAATAAAAAACTAATGGGGTGCATGGCATCGTGCCTTGAGACAAATTGCTGGACCTTACCGTACCGTAATAAATAAAAATGTGTACACATTATTAAAATCTCTATAAAATATCTGATAATTTGATGTACATATGTCCAATAAACATTTTTGACCGCCAAATAACATTTTTTTAACTTATTTTTATTGAGAGTCCATACCCGCTGGACATTTTTTCAACTTATTTTTATTGAGAGTCCATAACCGCTGGACCTGCTTTCTCAAAAATTTAATCAGTTCATCTTGTATACAAATATAATGTTTTTTGAATCATTAAAATCGGACGCTCCGTTCCAATGAATATAATACGCATCGTATTCTAATATTGTCTAGGCTCCGTTCTCTTAAAAACTGAGTTACCGTCTTTGGCACTTTTTGCCCCGTATCTTTGGAACGGCTTGACCTGCCTTCGCCAAAAACTATTCAGCACGTCTCCTTATCAATACGAATCGAATGTTTTTTGAATTATTCAAATCAATTGATCGGTGTTCCCGAAATCGTCGACGAAAATTTGTATCCGCACACACACACATACACGTACACACATACATATAATATACCATTTTTTCTGGGGTATGCCAAAATGTTCAGAAACCTACAAAACGTGGAGAAATGTAAAAATTTTCAATTTTGATTTTTGGACGATTACAATAACTTACCCTAGGGGAAGTTAATAATAAAATAAAATTTATTGATAGGGCAGAAAAGTATTTTGATTTTTCAGTTTTTTTTTCAATTTTATTGAGGAATTCTTCAAAACCAGTCGATTGATTATAGATTATAGACGTACGAGTTGAATTATAAAGTACGAGTCTATAATATAATATTTTCAAATCAGGCAATAGCTGTGACGCCTTAAAACCTAGACAATATAATAATACTTAAATATTATTATTATTAAATTAATTTTTATTATTATACTTGTTTATCTATGATTATGGCTTAAAAGACCCAAGGGTTCATTCATGGTTCATTCATAGATAAAAGAAAAGTATTATATTAAATATTAAATTTTGATAGTAGTTTCAATTTGCGATTTAAAAGTCTTTTCACGTTTTGTGTTTTTAAACTTTATGAATGCTAACATTGTGATATTGAATTAATGTTAAATCAATAATCAACCGTTTCAGGTGATCGAAGTTGTGATGTCAATGTATTCCCTAAAGCTGTCAGTCGGACAGCTCTAGTTAGTGGGCACATTTCCTACTGTCACAATGTAACACCGAAAAACAGTTATTGTGAATTCCACATTTACCTATGTTTATAAAGCAGAAGAACGTACGAGGTGGACGTGGACATCTGTTTTATTTCGGACTGTCCTTATCTCTCAATAGCTGGCAATGTGAATTATTTTATCAGGTGGAATGTTGAAGATTTGACATCTCATTTGAACGATGACACACGAGTACAAAAGTGTTACACAAATCCAATAAAACTGTTTGGATAATGCATATTTACTTTTGTGTGTGATATTCAAAGAAAATGTCAGGAAAATAATTTCAAGTTTTACTTTAGAAGTTTTTCATACTTCAAAAATGACTACGAAAGAACTCTATACAAAGGTAAATTCAGAGGCTATCAATAGTTTTTACAATTCATTTACTTATAACTCTATCAAATTTTATGTTGAGGGAATATTTTATATTAAAGTACTTAAATATATACTTTCTACAAAAAATAAATACCAAGTATGTTATACAGAAACAGAACCTAGAATTGGATAAATATGTTGATTCAGAATAATTACTATCTAAATTGATGAAATTTATCATTCATCATGATTATGGTAAATTTTGTTATTGAGTAACCTGTTAAAACATGTGAATATCACAAAACAAATAAGCATATATTTTTTTACTTATATTTTATATTAACATTGTTGACAATTCAATCAAAATTTTCTGGGTATTTTCAACAACTATGTTATGGTAATGTACAATAAATTATTTTGATTAATTAATTTAAGAATATTGTACAAATTATGCAAGTATACTTTTATATCAGTTTACATCTATTTACATACTCGACTAAGATGTTATGATTATTCTGAATCTGATGTATCCAATTGTATTTAAGTTTATCACTTTTTAACTCTATTCTAAATTTTGTTTTATGATTATCTGATCGGAAACTTATAATATGGAGAACACATCAATTTTTATATATAATTTAAAGTTTATATAGGGAGGGAATATTTTATATTAAAGTACTTAAATATATACTTCCTACAAAAGAGAAAATAACAGATATGTTACAAAGAAACAGAACTTAAAATTGGTAAATATGTTGATTCAGAATAATTACTATCTAAATTGATTAAATTTATCATTTTGTTATTGAGTAACCTGTTAAAACATGTGAATATCACCAAACAAATAAAAATCTATTTTTTTTACTTATATTTTATATTAACATTGTTCACAGTTCAATCAAAATTTTCTGGTTATTTTATCTGATTAACTTGTTAAAACATGTGAATAGCACAAAACAAATAAACATCTATTTTTTTACTTATATTTTATATTAACATTGTTCACAATTCAATCAAAATTTTCTGGGTATTTTCAACAACTATGTTATGGTAATGTACAATAAATTATTTTGATTAATTAATTTAAGAATATAGTGCAAATTATGCAAGTATACATTTATATCAGTTTACATCTATTTATTTACCTACTTGACTAAGATGTTACGATTATTCTGAATCTGATGTATTTAGAGAATTGTATTTAAGTTTATCTCTTTTTAACTCTATTCTAAAGTTTGTTTTATGATTATCTGATTGTAAACTTATAATATGGAGAAAACATCAATTTTTATATATAATTTAAAGTTTATATAGGGAGGGAATATTTTATATTAAAGTACTTAAATATATACTTCCTACAAAAGAGAAAATAACAGATATGTTACAAAGAAACAGAACTTAAAATTGGATAAATATGTTGATTCAGAATAATTACTATCTAAATTGATGAAATTTATCATTCATCATGATTATGGTAATATTTGTTATTGAGTAACCTGTTAAAACATGTGAATATAAAACAAATAAACATCTATTTTTTTACTTATATTTTATATTAACATTGTTCACAATTCAATCAAAATTTTCTGGGTATTTTCAACAACTATGTTATGGTAATGTACAATAAATTATTTTGATTAATTAATTTAGGAATATTGTGCAAATTATACAAGTATACATTTATATAAGTTTACATCTATTTACATACTCGACTAAGATGTTATGATTATTCTGAATCTGATGTATCCAATTGTATTTAAGTTTATCACTTTTTAACTCTATTCTAAAGTTTGTTTTATGATTATCTGATTGGAAACTTATAATATGGAGAACACATCAATTTTTATATATAATTTAAAGTTTATATAGGGAGAGAATATTTTATATTAAAGTACTTAAATATATACTTCCTATAAAAGAGAAAATAACAGATATGTTACAAAGAAACAGAACTTAAAATTGGATAAATATGTTGATTCAGAATAATTACTATCTAAATTGATGAAATTTATCATTTTGTTATTGAGTAACCTGTTAAAACATGTGAATATCACAAAACAAATAAACATCTATTTTTTTTACTTATATTTTATATTAACATTGTTCACAATTCAATCAAAATTTTCTGGGTATTTTCAACAACTATGTTATGGTAATGTACAATAAATTATTTTCATTAATTAATTTAAGAATATTGTACAAATTATGCAAGTATACATTTATATAAGTTTACATCTATTTACATACTCGACTAATATGTTATGATTATTCTGAATCTGATGTATCCAATTGTATTTAAGTTTATCACTTTTTAACTCTATTCTAAATTTTGTTTTATGATTATCTGATCGGAAACTTATAATATGGAGAAAACATCAATTTTTATATATAATTTAAAGTTTATATAGGGAGGGAATATTTTATATTAAAGTACTTAAATATATACTTCCTACAAAAGAGAAAATAACAAATATGTTACAAAGAAACAGAACTTAAAATTGGATAAATATGTTGATTCAGAATAAATACTATCTAAATTGATGAAATTTATCATTTATCATGATTATGGTAAATTTTGTTATTGAGTAACCTGTTAAAACATGTGAATATCACAAAACAAATAAGCATCTATTTTTTTTACTTATATTTTATATTAACATTGTTCACAATTCAATCAAAATTTTCTGGGTATTTTCAACAACTATGTTATGGTAATGTACAATAAATTATTTTGATTAATTAATTTAGGAATATTGTACAAATTATAAGTATACATTTATGCCAGTTTACATCTATTTATATGTAACTTATTGAGAATTTGATTAAGATGTTTTAATTATTCTGAATCTGATGCATCGAATTGTATTTAAGTTTATCACTTTTAATTATATTCTAAATTTTTTTTCATGATCATCTGATTATATATCTTATAAGACTTACAGTATTTTTTATATGACATGATGTGTATTTGATAGTATTTTATTTATAAGTGTAAATATTTTATCTGTTTTTACAGACTGCTTAGATTTTTTTATGAATTTGGAGTTTATGAGCGTAGGGTATATTATATATTAATTTTATGCTAGAATTATTTATTAGAAGTAAATGACATTTATATATAAAAAGTGTGATAGGAAACATATAATATGGAGAAAATACCAATTTTCATATATACTATGAAAATTTAACATTGCATAATTAAATTTAGTTTGATACTTTTATATTTATTTACTGTAAAATATTTGAAACCCAAATTACACTAGCTATTTTGCCAATATAAATCTGTTCGAGGTTTATCAATGAAAGTAGTTAATAAAATATATGTTACCAACCATATATACTACTGAAGATGAATCTTTGCAATTCAAAATATTTATGCAATATAATGTTGCAATATAATTAACTCATTATAATTAAACATAATTCTATATTTTAATCTTTTTTGTTACGACTATTGATATCTTGCATATTTTTTATCTATATTGTATAGACACTGTGTTAGCAATACCACCTTTGGTTTCTAGTTTATATATATATATATATATATATATATATATATATATATAATCTGAAGTACCTCAACACTTCACATTAAGTACTTTAGTAGAATATTATTTAATCATTAATGTTTTTCCCCTTTATATCCAATTGTCTGTATGCTCAATATTATAATTTAAAATAGGTTAAATATTAGATCCAATTAATCATATACATAAAATTTTACTACAGGGTGCTAAAATATGGGTGCGACATCCAGATTTGGTATGGGAAACAGCGACAGTGACGGAGCATTACACAGGATCCATATTGCACATAATACTGGATGAATCCCAAGTACATCAAGAAATTGTAATAAAGAATGATAATGATTTACCACCCTTGAGGAATCCAGACATACTATTGGGAGAAAATGATTTGACCTCGCTATCATACCTTCATGAACCAGCAGTATTACACAATTTGCAAGTTAGGTATGGTACCAGCTTGAGCTTGTATATGTTTGTTTTATACAAATAATTATAGTAATATATAGCATATATATGTATTTTTTTTTTATTTTAGGTTTTGCCAGAATAAATCAATATATACGTACTGTGGAATAGTTCTAGTAGCAGTAAATCCTTATGCAGAATTACCTTTATATGGACAAGATTCGATTGCAGCATATCGGGGGCATGCACTTGGTGATCTGGAACCACATATATTTGCTGTGGCTGAAGAAGCTTATGCAAAATTAGAACGTGAAGGAAGAGATCAGAGCATTATAGGTTAAAATAAATCACTCTATTGTGTATATTATTATTAAAATATTCTTGTTCTATTAAATCTTTATGTAATTATTACAGTCAGTGGAGAATCAGGTGCAGGTAAAACAGTATCTGCCAAATATGCCATGCGATACTTTGCTTGTGTTGGAGGTAGCGATACCGAAACTCAAGTGGAAAGAAAAGTCTTGGCGTCTAGTCCAATTATGGAGGTTATACATAATGCAGTATATAATTTGATTATTTTGCTTGTAAAAATTATAACTATTTTATAAATCGTACCTAAGGCCATTGGAAACGCTAAAACTACCAGAAATGACAATAGTTCCCGTTTTGGAAAATTTATAGAACTCAGGTTTAATAAACATCTTCACATTGCCGGTGCTTCTATGAGGACGTATCTATTGGAAAAATCTCGTGTAGTATTTCAAGCTAACGGAGAACGCAATTACCACATATTTTATCAGTTATGTGCAAGCAGAAAAGAAATGCCGTTTTTACATTTAGGTACGAATATTTCCTGTTTTTATAAATTGTTAACCAGTTAACTGTGAAAAACGAATATACTCGGCATGCAGAACTGGCAGAATTTTGAGTAATGAGTGGTATATTTGCCATGCATATAAAACAGTGACCATTTGCTATTTGAATTGATTTTTTTTCTAATATCAAAAGTTTAAAAGCTATTTTATGTAATTTGATAAGGACTAGCGTTGTTTAGTTTCGCGTGACGATAGGCAGAGCCGTTTCTTCTTAATTAGCAGAAAATTTTTACCTTCCCAAAGTTTTTCATAAAAAAATCAGATTCGCTAATTTTATGTTTTCTCGATGTTTCAAGCCATTCTGAATCGAATGAGACCAAAATCGGAAAAAGTATGTGTGTGTACGTGTATGTGAATAGATTTTTTGCCGTAAATCGACGTTTTCTCAAAAACGACTGGACCGATTTCAAAAATTTAATTTAGTTTCTTTGTAAATAGCAGAAAAGTGAAAAATTTTTCGTCCACGTTTTAGCCCGCAATTCTAAATCGATTTTGAAAATCCAAAAACCGTTCGAAAGATATTGGTTGGGAATCGACCTGATTAGTTTTTAGTAAAGATCGGCCGGACCGCTTTCTTGTAAGAAAGCGTTGAAAAAATTTTTTCGACGATTTCTATTATTTTTTTTGACTGTGTAGATACCATAGTCTTATGGATACTAAAATATTACGGCCCTACGACAAGTCCTTTAATTTTAAAAATTTGCTCAAAAACGCCTGAACCGATTTCAAAAATTTAAAAGCCATTTGATGTATTTCAGTGAGGACTATCGTTTGTCAGTTTTTGCGACGATCTGCCGAGCCGTTTCTTTGTAATGAACTATTAAAAACAAAAATGTAAGCTGATTTTTATGAAACTTTTTTTGGCGTTATATATCGTGGTCTTATAGAACTTACTGAAATATTACGGCCTTACGACAAGTAGTTTGTTAAAATTAAAATTAGACGATTTACTTGATATAACGATAGTATTCGTTCGTTTTCTATTTCAATGATATGTAATAAATCCATTCGGAACTTTTTAATCACTCATAAATTAATTTATTTTTTATTAAGTCGATTATTAAAATACTAGTTCTTCTATGTTTTAGCTCACAATTTTGATTCGATTTGTTGATTAATTTTTGGGAAACATCGGCCGGGCCCGTTTCTACGTAATTAAATGTTGAAAATTTTGAAAATAAAGCGATAAGCGGTTGAATTATAAAAATTTATCAAAGTTTCTATTTTTATTATTTGTTTCCACAGATCATCAAGATAATTTTAATTACTTGAACCAGGGCGAGTGCCCTAATATAGAAAGTGTATCCGATGATAAGACTTTTACTGAAACGCGGTTAGCGCTGGCTACTTTAGGATTCTCCAACACTGAACAGGAAGATATGTTCAAAGTCTGGTCAGCAGTATTGCATTTAGGAAATATTAAGTATGTACTGTGAAATAATTTTATATGCTTATATTTTTATTAATCATTATTTTTGTTTGGTAGATTTCTTTCCAACAGCACCAATGAAGAATCAGATACTAGTTATATAGCTGTAAGTATTTTTTATATTATATGCATATATAATTACATGATCTTTCCACAGATCAAAATGAATAAAAAATAATAATTTCAGAATACAGATAAACATTTAGAATATTTTTGCACCTTATTGGGAATTGAAATGAAGGCAATGCAGCAATGGTTGTGCATTAGACAAATTATTTCAATGAATGACGTAATACAGAAACCAATGTCACAACAAGAAGCAAACAATTCACGTGATGCATTAGCTAAGCACATTTATGCAAAGTTATTTGAATACGTAGTTAAAACTATCAATAAAACATTGGAATCTAGTGGCAAAACAAGGCAGTGTATAGGTATGCAAAATAATATTGCTATGTAATGAAAAATTAATACTGTATTTCAAATTTTTCTTATTTGTAGGGGTATTGGATATCTATGGTTTTGAAACTTTTGAAATAAATTCCTTTGAACAATTCTGTATCAATTATGCTAATGAGAAATTGCAACAGCAATTCAACAAGCATGTTTTTAAACTCGAACAGCAAGAATATTTGAAAGAGGGTATTGCATGGAAAATGATTGATTTTTATGATAATCAGCCATGCATAGATTTGATAGAATCCCGACTAGGTATTTTGGACTTGCTCGATGAAGAGTGCAAGGTATTGTAAATCAAAATGTAACAATTTGCTTTATTGATTTTCAAAAACTTCTTTTCATATAATTTAAAGATGCCAAAAGGCAGTGATTCATCATGGACTGAAAAGTTATATTCAAAGTGTTCAAAACATTCCCATTTTAATAAACCTCGATTTGGGACATCAGGTAATATATAAAAATATGCAAAAAATGGAATTATGAAGAATTGTTAATGCTATATTGTTATTATATATTGTTAATATATATTTTTTGCAGCTTTTGTTATACATCATTTTGCTGACAAGGTTGAGTATGAATCCGTGGGATTTTTAGAGAAGAATCGTGATACTGTGATGGAACAACAGATAGAAGTTTTAAAACGCTCTAATAATTCTTTAGTGTGCGAATTATTTTCTGTGATCGATCCGGCTAAAAAGTCTACACCTAGAGTTAAAGTAAAAGTTACAACGCATTTGGGAAATGTTAGTAATTTTAAATATTTTAAATCAAAGCATGAGGAATCCACTTATCACATATTATATTTTTATTTATTTTTTAGGAAACTATGTCGTCTAAGCAGAACAAAAAGAGTGTGGGTTCTCAATTTCGTGAGTCTCTGGGTTTGCTAATGAGCACTTTGGACTCAACAACTCCACATTATGTTAGATGTATTAAGGTAAATTTTCCTAAAAAAAACTTTATCTCTATCAATATTAAAAAAAAGAGTGCCTTTAAGGTTCACACGCGATTGAAGTAAAACTTATTTGCTACTGTACTGTTTAGTACATGGCACAAATGTTTCATTTGTTTTATTATTTTCAAGGAACAGAGTAACATATTCTTCTGATTTAGGCATTGTTCATAAAATCAAGATTTGTACTACGATGTAACTTCAAAATGTTTATTTATTTATGCCGATTTCCTTGTTGATATTGGTACGCATACAACGTTCATGCCGGTACGCATACAACGACATACTTGTAATTCACATACACGACTACTAATCACAATCGACCCTTATTGAAATGATTTTATCGAGAGCGAGCGAATGACGTACAATTCGGGCGTAACGCAATTTTTGTTGCATTTCCACGGATGTACACCCTAGTCGCGGCTAAAGAAGTTTTACTTTAATAATATAGTTAATAATCTAATTTTAAACTATCTCAGCCCAACGATGATAAAATGGCGTTCACTTGGGAAGCGAGCCGTGCAGTGCAACAACTACGAGCTTGCGGTGTTCTAGAAACTATTCGCATTTCCGCAGCAGGATTTCCATCTCGCTGGTGTTATGTCGACTTTTTTTCCAGGTGATTTATCAACCATTAGTTTTATGCATATAAAAGCATTAAATGTGTCATTGTAATTGTTTTTGCAGATATCGCGTACTGTGCCATTCTAAAGACGTCAATCGTTCAGATATAATTGCGACGTGTAAGATAATTTTAACCAAATGTATAAAAGATGCTGACAAATATCAGTTTGGTCAAACTATGATATTTTTTAGAGCTGGTCAAGTTGCTTACCTTGAAAAACTTCGAGCAGGTTAGTGACTTTTTTTAAATTAGACTGGTACCCCGACATACGAGTTTAATTTATTCCGTAACTATGCTTGTATCTCGAAGCAGTTTTTCCATATAAATACATTGAAATACGATTAATTCATCCCAGCACTGTGCTTTTTGTTCAGTTTTAAAAGTAAACTTACTATTTATTCTAACTGTTCTAACTCTTTTTGGGGTGATTTTTATTGACAATCTTAGAGTTCAGAAAGATGCTTATAAATTATTAGTTAGATTAGCCCTTAGTTGGAGTTATACTCTTTATCAACTTCTTCTGTTCAAACACAGTATATATGTATGATGTCTTACGTTTGTACATTCTTGCCATTATCGTATTTTTTAATAATTTCACACTTTAATTCCAGAGACATGGCTCTTTTTTTAGACTCGTGGTTATAAAATTAAATAATATTTTGAAATTGTAAAAAAAGCAAAAAACGCAAACTCTGTACAATCACTATTAATACATATTCAAAATTTTAAATGTTAAAATAATCTTCAATATATTCGCATGGGTAAATTGCTACTGCACAATTAATAATAATATAGAATTGAAATAGCTAACCATAAAATAATTTACTATCATAACAGAATCAAAATATTTCCATAGTAAAATCATTCTTACAACTGACGAAATTATTCATATTTTTATTTTGTCATTAACATTTTTCAAAAGCTTGTTTCTCAAATTTTGCTCGTATGTCGAAGCAACGAATCGCTCCTTTGACGGTTCGTATATTTAAACACTCATAAGGGGGTCTTCCTATATGACGGCCTGTTTTTTAGGGATATTTTAGGATTTTTTTTCTACGACCAGTAAATATTTAGAGCTTCAAGTTTTTTTTATCATTTATTAACACATATTTGGACAGTATAAATATAAAATTTCAGCTAAAAATATTCAGTCAAACTAGAGTTACAGCGCTCTGAACACCCCCGCCTCGAAAAAAAGAACTCCCACTTCCTCCACGACTCCGGCTGATCGGCTTATCTGACCAAAAAAAAATAAACGGCGTTTTAATTTGCAAGCTTAAAAGCACGGAATGAACTATAATCAAATGAATACAAAAAAAATTGGATTTTTGATAGACATTTGAAATAAAAGTTGCAAATTAGGCGCTTTTTTTTTGTTTTTTGCTATAAAAAAATCGAAGTTTTGAAAATTTTTGATTGATAATAGTTCATTCCATGCGTTTAAACATATTGAGTGTGCCCTGTAAATTTCAAGTAATTCGGTCCAGCCGTTTCTGAGATACAATGGAGGAAAGTTTGAAAAACACAGTTTTGAGAAAAACGCGTTTAAAGATAAAATGATTGTTGTACTATATACTATATGTATACTTTTTAAATGGCTGTAACTCAAAAATTATTTGAGATATCGATTTGAAATTTTAATATGTTATTTTTAAAGGTGTAATCTACCGAAATATGAAAAGAAAAAAAAATCGATTTTTTCAACTCATTACATAGGAAGACCCCCATAAGTCTGGGTACTATAAGGTGTTTTTCATATGATTATATTAATTTCATTGTTATTTTTTAGATCAACTTAGTCGATGCTGTATCATAATGCAAAGTCAAATGAGAGCATTTGTCAAAAGAATGCAATATTTGAAACTTAAGAAATCAATCATTGGAATACAACGATATGGGCGTGGTCTGTTAGGACGAAGGTTTGATAATTTAATTATGTTGTCAATTTATTTTACTTATTGCACTCTATGCAATGACACACAAATCCGATAACTTGATCTAAGATGCATGATTTGTGGATGTAAACATATTTATGATTTGTAGATTGATGACATAATTATCTTTCTCTCATTATTACAAAACTGATAACAATAAATCTTATATCTTTTTATTCAATAATGTAGCACTTGTTATTACAAGTTCAAGTAGATCTTGCCTTTATTTTTTGATTATTTAAAGAAAATTTTATTTTTTTACAGGAAAGCAGTAAAACTTCGGCAAAACATAGCGGCTATTACCATACAGAAATACGTTAGAAAGTGGATAGCGAGGAAGAAATTTTTGGAATTGAAAGCTACTGCATTGTTTATACAGAAGTATGGTCGTGGATATTTGGCGCGGCTGAAATATCAAAGATTGCTGTATGATTCAAAGGTGAACTATTGGTGCATGGCATAATGTCTTAAGGGGTTATATACACTTAATCGGCCGAAAAAAAATCTGCGGAAGCATTTTTCGAAAAACACGTTTTGCGGTGATCTCTCTATCCCTGAAGTAAATCATCTGAAATTAAAAAACCAAATTGAATTCATTAAAGAAATAATAAATCTAGTAATTATTCGAAGCAATAAGCAAAATAATAATTTTTGACAAAATGGCGGTTTCCTAAAAAAAAATCCGAAACAGCGATATCTCCGAAAATAAGTTGAATTTTGATTAATCGTTTTGTGCACATATTCTTTAATAGTTAAACTTTAAAAACACAACAAAAAATTGATTTTTTAAAACTTTTAGACTATAATACCCTTTTAAGATGATAATACAATCTATTTATTAATTATCTCATATTATTCATATTTTTGACAACCTGTACATGTATCAGGAGAAATAATCATTTACATTTTTTTTGTTTCAATTTTACATTAACCTTGTTAAGCATGTTTATCATCATAGTTTACAAGCTATGTTTATATTGTCTTTGCAATGCAATATGAAATTTTTATTTTTCTTGTAGGCGACTTTGATACAGAGACATGTCCGAGGATGGTTGGCTAGACGAAGGTATAATGCATATATAAAAAAAATTATCATATGTCAATCAGCAATTCGAAGAAAACTTGCCAGGAAGAAGTTCAGGGTATTGAAAGCCGAAGCTCGATCTGTGGAACATGTTAAAACATTAAATAGAGGTATTGAAGTCGTAACCAGATCATGTTTCTTAAAGTGTGACTTTATATATTTGGTAAATTTAATGATTTACTTTATTAGGATTGGAGAATAAGATAATCTCACTACAGCAAAAGATTGAGGAACTCAATAAAAAGAATTCTGTTATGAATGCTGTATTGGCAGAAAATCAGGATCTTAAGTAAATACTTTAATTTTATAATTATATAAATTTAAATATTTATATTTTGAATCATAGTTTATATCTAAAATATTTTTAGGTCAAAGCTAGGAACATTGAAAACATTAGAACAAGAACTAAAACGATTAACTTTAGTGATGGATGAAAAAGATCGCTCATTAAAAGATCTCAATGATAAATTGCGTGTTGAGCAAGATGAAAAGATGCAAATAGTTGAAGAAAGACAACAGTTGGAAGTAGATATGAATAAAGAAATTGAAACTCTTAAAGTAGAACTTTCTCAAGTCCAAAAACATACTGAAGAAAAAGAATCAGGCAAGTCAAATTTTACAGTGCTGACATAAAAAAATCTACTTTGCATCCAATCAATTTTATGGATTGTTTTGTTGATTTATAGTTGTTAAAGAGGATGTGCAGAAGACATTAGAAGCTGAAAGATTACAACATAATGATGAAATCGAACAACAACGTGCTTTGTATCAGAAATTACTTTTGGAACACCATGCATTAGAAAAAAGAACTGAGAGCATGCAAGAACAATTGGCCAGGTCAGCAATTAAATATCAGCATAAATATTCTTCTGAAAATATAAATTTTATATAGAATTAATATAAATTTAATTTTTTTTTTTTATTTTTAATATGTTTTAACAGCATTGTTCTTATATTATGTGCTAGTATATCATAATTAAATTTCAGGTTAACAAGACTAACTCAGTTCGCAGACAATTCAACTCTCTTAGAAGATTGTCAAATCAGTTCAGGTTCTCCTTCAGAAGATGTGAGTTTGCTATATATTTTTTACTATTTGCATCTGATTTTGTAGTATATAGTTATTGGTTTTCTATGATCTATTGTCTATTTTAGGACTTTGGGTATGGATCAGTACGAAGCACACCTGCTCCACAACATACAAAATTGGATAGTATTGACTGGAAGAAGTCTGATCAATACAATGAGAATTTAGGAAGTGGAGATAGCGTAAGTAAAACAAAAAGTTTTTTTATTAAAAAATTTAATATTTAAACATTTTTTTAGCGTGATGTTGGTTTAATTCTAAAACTTCAACAAAAGTTACACACTGTTGAAATGGATAAATCGCGATTATTGAATCGTATTGAGGAGTTAGAAAAGGGCAATGTTGATTACAAAAGTTTTGAGGATGGCATTCGGTAATGATTTTTTGCAGGATTTTTTTTTTTTTACTTATTTTAAATTATTCTAATAAATTAATTTTCAGATCTGCTGAATTGGAAATAGAAAATGAAAAGCTTAGAAAAGATTTAATGCTGTTGAGACAAACAGTAATTGATCGTAATTTCACAGGAGTTGAGAAGAAAGAGATTTTAGGTATAATTTTTTTTTTTTTTTTTACTATATAGGGTGTCACATAACTCAACGTAAAGTCGAAATAGGGTGGGGGTTATTGATCGTAACTATCCTGAAAAAATTAGAAAAAAATTATTTCACATTTAGAAATTATAAGCTTTTAAGTGCAACCTAGAGCTTTGGTGAAATTGCGACCATTGGCTATTGTGGTTAATTTTTATTACTTTTGTTTATTGTTTATTTAATATTTGTTCATATAATAATATTTAGTATATATATTATTGTTTTTAAGAACAATTGAAAGCGACCCAGGAAGAATGTGAAAGACGGCGCGACGAATGCATTCAACTACGTACTGTTCTAGCCACTCAGAGCACTAATTTACGTTCATTAGGTGAAAATTATCCCACCGATGATCTTAGTGTGGTAAATGAAGACGGAGAACTGATTCACGCTTTTGAGTCACAGAAAAAAATTATCAGGTTTTGATCTAAAACTGCATTCGAAACTTTCAGTTGTATCATTCTTTTTATATTATTAATAAATAACTATAATATTTCCACAGGCAATTGGAATCGGAGCTGCAATCTGAAAAGAATCAAAGTTTGAATACTAAGCAAGAAATGGCTTCAGAAATTGACAGATTGGTTGCAGAAAATGAGCGTTTAGAAAAATTGTTGCAGGGAAATTTGGGGCCTGCTCAAACTAAGATGGAAGCTTACATGCAATATGAGATAACGAGATTAACAACAGAAAACTTGAATTTACAGGTATACATATAGCGTGTAGTAATATTATTCTCATTTTATATTTTATGAATTTATGAATATTATATATAATTTTATGAATATCATATTTTAAGAACACCATGATGAACTAATATAATAAATGTTTAATATGATAGGATGTAGAACACAAAGATTTTTAAATTTCAGGAAGGAAAAGATGCCTTAACTGATAACTATCAAAAGCTCAAATCCCAATTGCATGTATTGACAAAACGACTTACAGATAATGGTCTTTCTGAGTATTTAGAACCTCAAAAACACACCAGCGCAACAAGTAATGCTATGACTGGAACAGGTGATTTTTCATAATGCTACAAAGTTTTATTAATAATTTAAATGCATTACTAAATGATATTCTGAGCTCTGTTAGTTTTATGAGTTTCACATAAATTTCCTAGCATTCAGAATTTTGTTTATAGCTTGTATATAAAACAATATGAAATTAATGCTCATTTATATTGAACAGATGAAGTCCGATTACCACACATTAGAAAGAAGGATCGGGAATACTTTGGCATGTTTGAATACAAATTTGAAGATGAAAATATTATTATAAGACGCTTAGTAACAGGTAAAAATATTTTAATGAAGTTTTTTATGTATGGATATTAGATATTTAAATATTTTTTGTTTCATAGATTTAAAACCAAGAGTTGCTGCTACATTGCTTCCATGTCTTCCTGCATATATTGTGTTCATGTGCGTCAGATATACCGACATGATTAATAATGATATAAAAGTAAGATCTATCATTCAATCATTCCTGACTGCTACTAGAAAAACTATTAAGAAGCACGGAGAAAATTTGGATTACAGAGCCTTGTGGCTAGCTAATATGTTAAGGTATTTTTTTTGTTTTTGTTTATATTACTATATATTATAATGAAATGTGCATGTACTGCTAGTACATTATAATATATTAAAAATGAAATTTGTATTTGCAGACTTTTGCACAACTTAAAACAGTATAGTGGCGATGTGGCTTTCCAAATCAAGAACACCCCAAAACAAAATGAACAGTGTCTTGTAAATTTTGATCTTTCAGACCATAGACAGATGATTTCTGATTTCTGCGTTTATATTTATCAAGGTAATAATTATAACATTGAATGAACTAAATTTGTTTTATGATTTTTATTTTGAGTATGTGATTGTTTTATTTAGATGCAATTCAACATCTCCAAGATAAACTTCAAGCTTTAATTATCCCTGCAATTTTGGAACACGAAGCGATCAGTGGCCTTACTAGCCATAAACCAGCAGGTAAACATATTTTAGCATAAAGAATAATGTTTCATAAATATAATCATTTTTAGTTAACAAAAACCAGTACAATTAAAAAAACTATTAATGAATTATAAATTTTTGAAAATTATTATCATAATAACTATTATTTGATTTTAAATCGGTTTAGGGATGCGAGGCAGGAGTTCTTCAGTGTCTGCTGATAATTCAAAGAATGCATTCAAAGCTCCTGAGCAACTGGTTTCAGAGCTGACCAATATTTTAAAAACACTTGGATACTATGGAGTTGATCCTGAAATTATTGTACAGATATTTAAACAAGTAAGTTTTTTTCTAATATATATCATAATATTTTGCAACACATTCTTAAAAAATACTAGCAACTAATTCAATGGATATATATATATATATATATATATATATATATATATATATATATATATTTGATATCAGTTATTGAGATTTATTTGCTTCTTGCAGTTGTTCTACTTTATATGTGGAACATCCCTCAATAATCTGTTGCTGAGAAAAGACTTGTGCCACTGGTCAAAAGGAATGCAGATACGATACAATTTATCACATTTAGAAACATGGACTCGTGACCACAAATTAGAGGTAATTACATTTTTTATTATTATTATTATTACAATACTTTTTGATTGCTTATTTATTTTTGTAACCATTATTTTTTTCACATTCCATCCTTACTTGTAATAAATTAGTAATAAATCTGTGTTGAACTATGTATTTTAGGAAGTTCCAATATTGAGCACTTTGCAACCCATTATTCAAGCAGCTCAGTTACTGCAGGCACGAAAGTCGGACGATGATGTGCAAAGTGTCTGTGATATGTGTTCACAACTCACTCCAACACAGATTTGCAAGGTGAATATACAAAATTGATTTTACCTTATTTTAAGAAATAACAATTCATAATTCAGCTTAAGCTCTTTAAAATATGTCTTATGTATATTACTTCTTTGCATTAATAATGGATAAATTTCGTAATTGAAAATGGACAATTTGATAAATTTTTGGTTTTAAGTATCTAACTAGTTTGGAAATATTATTTAATGTTCCTAAGGTTGCTGGACTACAATTATAAAGATTGTTTTAATCAGCAAAAATAATGTAACTTAACAATATGCATTTTTTTCTAGATTTTGAATTTATACACACCAGCTGATGGATATGAAGAAAAGGTTTCTATTGCTTTCATTCGTAAAATTCAAGAACATTTACGAAAGCGAGATATTCCTGCTGAGAAGGTAAATATATTTATATATGTCTTCATATTCTATGTTATAATAAAATAAATTGAAAGAAAAACTTGTGGAACAGCTGAAACAATATTGACTTGTATATTATAGTTAATTTTTTTTCAATGATATCAAGTCATTTGAATAGCAATGAAATAACTTTCATTGGTTTAAATAATTCTTTAATAATATGTATATACATTTAATTTTTTAGGACATACTACTTATGGATCTCAAAAATACATTCCCTATTAAATTCCCATTTAATCCGTCAAGTATAAGACTGGAGGATATAGAAGTCCCTGAAGTACTTAAATTAGAAGTATTGACCAAGATATAAATGACTTAAATATATATGTGCTTAAGATATAGGCAAGAAAATTGTGCCATCATTCCCAAGATAGATTATAATATAAATGAGACTTAGTGTTCAATATATGCAATCATTAACAATATGCATATATAAATGTATATTTAAAAACATTTACACATTTTTATGTATACAGTTTCATAGACACATAAATGTTTTAGAATCCCACCAGTATAGAAGCAAGTAATCAGTATTTTAATTTTGCTATTTTATGCAAAGGCCATTTACTTAGCATTTGTCAAGTTATTCCAGTTATATAATTCTGTTTATATAACTTACATAATTATTTATTTAAGTATTGTCTACTATTAGTATTAACAAAAATGGAATGTGTTGATTGCATTTTTCAAATTCTCAAAGATGAGATTATTGCACGATATAAAAATCATATAACATATTTTATAATATTTTAGAAAATTTACTATTAGAAAAATCACTTGTGATTTTAGGTGCTAATTCCCAGTGCATACCATATCCTGGTTGTGATATATTTTGTTTCCTTTTCTTAAGATTTATTTAAAAATTTTATTTGTTCCTAAAATAGAGTTTAGGAATTAAAAACAACTATTTACTTAATAAAGTACCTGTTAAAATATATATTTTGTATATATTGATGAACAATATAATTTTATTTTTCTCAAAATTAAATTGTTTATTGGCGTTACAAATAAATATATATAAATCATATTTTTCTAAATGTTATACATTCTTTAAAAGATTTAGTTTCCAAAAGTAAAAGGTTCCTCAGTTAATTAAAATAAATATAGGATTAATTTTATCATCATAAATCTGCATTTAATTAATTAGTCAATAATAATTAATAATGCAAAACATGTATTAATATTTGGGTAATTGTATGCTCATAGATGTGCAATGACTAGAATAGTATTGGCTATGTAAAAAAAGACATCTGTAACAACAATATTGTACATTTTTATTTTTATTATGAGAACCTGTTTATGAGTAAATTGTCAATTTAATAGCTATAAAAATTGGCTTTATGATTTCATATAATATAGCTATAAATTGCAAACTAGAAAAATATAAATATATAATTGAAAAATGTTAATAAAGTATATAAATAATGTTAAATTATTGTTTTATTAACTTCACTTAGAGTAAGTTATAGTAATCGCAAAAAAATCAAAAATGAAAATTTTTATATATTTTTGTTTCAAAGGTTTTTGAATATTTTGGCATACCTTAGAAAAAAATGTTGTATGCGTGTGTGTGTGCGGATACAAATTTTCGTCGACGATTTCGGGGACACCGATCAACCGATTTGGATAATTCAAAAAACATTCGATTTGTATTGATAAGGAGACGTGCTGATTAGTTTTTGGCAAAGGCAGGTCTAGCCGTTCCGAAGATAGAGCAAAAAGTGCAGAAATTCCGATTAGATCCTAGACATCCTCTCATAGCGTTGTGCGTTAAATTTCATGTGACTGTTTTATAATTTGTTATTGTTAAATGATCAAATCAAATCATAACAAATGCAAAATATGTTTTCTAGAGAGCTATTTTATGCACGGTCTTCATATTTGCTGTAAGTTGACGGTGAAAATGATAAATTTAGAACAAATGCTTTCTGATTTTTATATTATGAAATGGTAATTATGGCAATTTAATCATTTAATGATAATACAATATATTGGCTACGTTTTTAGGCATTAAATTTTATATAAATTAATTATATTAATTATGGATAATTTTAATTAAACTTTGTTTTATTGCAAGTTCAATTTAAAATTTTCAAATGTCATGCAATGAGTTTTAAACAAAACAATAGCGAAAAGAGATACGTGAAATGAGCAGGTATGGAAAAATTTATATAATACTTCTAATTTATATTGACTGTAATTTTATAATTGTGTAATTTAATAATATAATATGTAACGATATAGCGAATAGTTAAATTAAAATCAAATTTAATACAAATCCATCTTAAAACAATTTCTTTTGCTACAAATATGTCAAAATATCTACAAAATTATGAAAGATTTTAATTAAATTTTGTTTTATGGCAAGTTTAATTAAAATATTGTTCAATATTAATATATTATTCAATTGAATTTTCAAATGCCATGGGATGAGTTTTAAACAAAACAACAGCGAAAAGAGATACATGGAATGAGCAGGTATGGAAAAATTTATATAATACTTCTTATTTATCATAATTGTAATTTTATTATTGTCTAATTAAATATTATAATATGTAACAATGTAGCGAATAGTTAAATTAAAATCAAATTTAATACAATTCCATCTTAAAACGATTTCTTTTGCCTACGATAACGATCGTCAAAAACACTAGATGCTTATTTGGCTTATCTGGCAACACTTGATGTTTATTTTATCACGATATGTGGCAGCCCAGCTCTTTCAGTCTTTTTCGCTTCTTGGAGGCTTCTTGTCTAATTGCTTCCTTTTCCGTTTTGTGCGTGTGTGTAGAAACATGCCGGTATGTATCTCGAGCAAAAATAAATATACTTTAAGTGATTTTAATGATTATATTTATGTTACTGCTCGAAAACGAAATTCTTGTGTTTTTAGTGATATTAGATTAGAAATCGGGGCCTTTCCTTGCCCGTAAAACCAAACATGCACGTGGACATGTTCTTTTATTTGTGATTTGCAAATGACTTTTCACATACAATTATTATTAGTGTAGTTTTGATATGTTGATTACATTTCTTTTTACTACTTTTAATCTATGTGCATACGCATTACATGTAAAGTTGTTCCTAACCTCAAATTGTTGTTCCAGTTAGCTAAAGATTTATTGCATCCGACGATTGCGGAGGAGAAGAGACGTCACAAGCTAAAGCGTCTTGTGCAGCATCCAAATTCTTATTTTATGGATGTCAAATGTCCGGGTTGTTATAAAATTACAACAGTTTTTAGCCATGCACAAAGTGTAGTTGTATGTGCTGGATGTTCAACAATATTATGCCAACCAACAGGAGGTCGTGCTCGTCTGACTGAAGGTAAGCATTTTCCACCTACCTCCTATTTAAATAACATTTTTGGTTGAAAACATACATGAAACTAAACTGTCATATGTTTCATGTTCTGTAATACTTACTCTAGCACAGAACAAACATTGCAGTTAATACATAACTGTACAGTACTGTGTAGTCATGGCTATTTATACCAATAACCAATTCTCAAAGGTAACTCAATGTAATTGCTGACAATTTGCAATTAAATACCTCATACATTACATTAACCTAAATGTCTAGTACTTATACAACCATACAGTATGTTATAGTCCTGGCTATTTATAGCAATAAGTTCTTGTGGACAAATTGGTGGAATTGCTGTAAATTACCCATTAAACCAACTTCTAGAACTAGTTCATTATTTGTTTCTGCGCTTTATTTATTTCATTAACAAAGTTTTTCTTTTTCAGGATGTTCGTTCAGGAGGAAACAACATTAATTTAAGTTATTTCCTACTTTGTTTATAAGATGTAAAAGTTAAATTGCCTTGTAGATTTTTTTAAAATTCTAATAAAGGCAAATTTGAAATATTGTTTTATTTTTTACATTAATTATATAAACAATACTTATTATAGACCCATTTCTTACTTTATCACACTCAAAAGTATGTAAAGAACTAATTTAATAAATCGGGCTGAAAAAAGGTATTGTGTTTAATTGTTCGAAAGGCTTCGTGTTATGTGTTGTGTATAGATTGACTGTAATCATGCTGGTTACACTATTTGAAAATAAGTAGCAAAGTGATTAACATAAATTTAAGTGTGAAAATTATTAGTGCAATTATGGAAAAATTAAATTTACAGTGATGTCTTTTTTTAACAAAACATCCAAACCAGTTGAATTTCAAAAACGTGACAACTTCAGTGTTCACTTAATTACTTCAAAAATTAAAATAAACAAATTTTTTATTACTCTTAATTTTCTTCAGCTTCAACATTTAAAGCCATCCTGAGATCTTTGCAATGCTTATGAATTGGGGCCATGCCATTTAGTACAATATGCCAGGTTCTCGTAGTAGTTACATCCATCTTCTTAAAAGTGAAAACCCAAATCACTTATTCCATTTAATAGTTTCTGCTGCGACTGCTGCATCGAAATAAAATAATCGTACAGTATTAAATAATCTTTCATGGAAATATTTAATATTGGCCAATTCAATTCTTCTTGTAAAAAGTGATAGTTAAGGTTTGTCACAACAGCTCATACTAATTGACTTTAATTAGTGAAATTAGTGCTGGTTGAACTACACCAGCGGTCGGGGAACTCTTTTAATCATTATCCCAAAATATATTTAAGTTGATATTACCCCCATGGCAAAGAAAGATTTACCTTTGCTACTACAGTAAATCTCAATTAAAATACATACTTTTTACCCACAAAAAGTCAATTTTTACCTCATCTGGGGTAATTTACCCCAATGCCCCCATCACTGGTCTAAACTTTTAAGTAAAGTACTTGTTTTGTGTACTTAATTCCTTTATGCAATTCAGTTACGCTTATGGTAGATGATGGTCATTAGTAATAAGTACATAGCATGCAAAACAATATGTAAAATTTAACAAATTACCATTTGGGAAAGGTATTAGCTAATTCTTCAAGTAAATATCAACATAATATATTTTTCACGTCATTCAGGCCTGGTATCAAATATTATGAAAAAAAGTTTATACATAGTCCATATATATGAGATTTTATCGGCCGATACATTGAATAACAATAATGCACTAAAATTATATTTGATTTATTGTTAGTACTAGTTTGGACACAACTTTCAGCTAAAATACATAATTTTATATATATTCATATATTTATATATTTTATTTATATATAAATAAATATATTATACTAATAAAATATACATACCTGATAAAAAGCTTTCCAATTATAAAAGTAAGATATCCATTTATATATATGTTTTAGGACACATTTTTTGAGCTATTTTTGTTCTTGAATAAAGTATGTTGGAATCTAGTAGTTATAAATTGTAAAACAAAATTCTCAATGTGTCAATATATATGTTTAATAGAAACAAAAGAATAAATTATAAAAGTACAAAATATATATAGAAGGTAAAGAGATAAATATTGTGTATTATATTTTATTGTTGATTAAGTTTTGTACCAGGGGTGTATATTTTATTTGTTTTATATATTGATTTATATTATATTGTATTCCTTGAACTATCTATATAAAATCATTATGTATTTTAGCTGAAAAATGACATATTTTGTACTAACAATAAATCAAATTTAAATTTAGTACATTATTTTTATTCGACATTTTAGCTGATAAAATGGATCATATATATCAACTACATATATATATATATATATATATATATATATATATATATATTTATTTATTTATTTATTTATTTACTACAATTTGATTCTACCTTGCTTAATCTAGGTTCGAATATATAATTCATCATATTTAAATTTGCATTGAATTATCTAATCATATTTATTTACAGTTTAATATGAAAACAGTTGTCTAAATCATATATTTTCATTTTCCTTATCTTTTAAATATATCTTATCTGAATATATAATATTTTTCTTTTGAGTTTATTTTCATCAAGTCATCTTTATATCCCTCGGAAGCTCTTTATATAAACCTGTAGTGCTCCATATAACATTTCCTCTCATTTTGATTTATCTGTTGTGTGTGATGTGAAAAATGTTTAGTATTTATTTTAAATGTAGAACTTTATTATTAGCTAGTATATTTTTTAGACAAATAATTATCTTTTAATTAATTTAATTGGTAATATGATAAGTGAAAAAAACAATGGTGTTGTTACAATGTTTTTTTAATTGTTCGAACATTTTATTTTGTTGCATAAAGTTTCATTCATTTGCATAAAGAACTTGTATATTTTCAGGCATATTTATTAAAAATAATTAAAAATACAAATTTATGGCCACACGAAATATATTATATAAAATAAATACTTATAAGTATTTTACATATATACATATTTATATTTTTTCCTATTAATCAATTAAATTTTTTGAGTAAAAAAAGCAGGCTTTGATTGAGATGAGCCCCTAAATATAAATGTAGGAAATCGAGAATTGGAGGATGTAGATCACTTTAAGTACTTGGGGAGCATCCTGATCAGAGTTTTTGAAACAAATTATGTAATTTAAAATTTCTTTAAATTATCAAAACTCAAATTTAAAAAAGACATAATTTAAAGAAATTTTAAATTACAAAATTTGTTTCTTCGTCTGAAAAGAAATTTATAAAATCATCTTTTTTGATGAAATCTTTTATAGTGAAAAACTGTTAGTGCATAATCAATCATACAGGTAATTAATTCTGCTTTTTTCGAGAAACCTTTTTTTAAAACTTTCGATTTTTTTAACATTCTTAATATTTTGTTATATAATCTTCTCATTTATTTTTATCATTTTCATTTTGATTATATTGTCATATTTCTGTACATTATTTTTTCCACAATTTTATTCATTTTATATAAAAAATCCATCATCTCCTGCTTTTCTTAAACATATTGTTTGCTTAAATCTTATCAAGATCATGTTCCTTGACAGATATGTCTTGAAGATGGAACGTATCTAGTTCCGAAACGTCGACAGTAAAAAAATAAAGAAATGTTTTTTTAAAAAACTCTTGTTTTTTATTACCTTTTGGATTCTTTGTTAGGAGCTCTACATATATATATATATATATATATATATATATATATATATATATAAAGCGAGAGGTTTTTCTTCAGATGGTGAAATAATTTGATAAAATTGTTTCTTGGGCATCCATCCAGTAATTAAAAAAACAGTTTTATTCAAAAATGTTTTTATTTAGAGAAACATACGTTTCGGGTCTTGATTTGACCCATCTTCAGTGCTACAAATAAATATTTCAGGGATACAAATTAAAACAATATAAAAATACATAATTACAGACAAAAATAAGTAGAACAATGTATATGAAAAGTATATATGAAAAACAACCATAATATATACTCTATATTCATATATACTTTTCATATACATTGTTCTACTTATTTTTGTCTGTAATTATGTATTTTTATATTGTTTTAATTTGTATCCCTGAAATATTTATTTGTAGCACTGAAGATGGGTCAAATCAAGACCCGAAACGTATGTTTCTCTAAATAAAAACATTTTTGAATAAAACTGTTTTTTTAATTACTGGATATATATATATATATATATATATATATAAATTCAATTCAATTCAATTCAAACCTGATGGGTGGAAATGCTAAAACAGGGGCAATTTTAAAAGTCATGTCAAAAACTATTTTTGAAATAAATTTTTATGATAATTATGCACAAGTGACGTAAATGGTAATTATTGAATTTTAATAAATTCTTTTTCCATGTATATGTACATATGTATGCATTTGTATATGTATTACATATATGTATATAATATCTCTTATCTCTGGTGTAAATAGTGGCCCCATGCTGAAACACTTAACCTCCAAAAGTTGCAATGCAGTGACTTTTGCTCCTTGTGTCAATCAGCTGACCACGATTGATTTTTTTCATTTTTTCATTGTGCTACAGGAAAAAGTTTTTGTAAATTGTTAACAAAAATAACCCATGCTCTCTAAATCAATCAGTGTAGATAATAATTAAGGAAAATGTATACGGTATCTAAGGGTCCTAGTAAAATTGTTGCCAAAACTAGAAGTATGTTTTTCTATATAACCCTTTTAATTTATTGTTCGATGTGATGTTTAAATAAATCTTTTTTCAGGGATTACACAAAATTTGGATAGACTGGAAACATTACGTGATCTTTCGCGAAAACCTTCGGATACCTTTGAAGAAAATCCGTAAGTTATGATGCAATCTCTAAGGGCATCCTTATTTATTGTTATAAAATCATTATCAGGGTAAATGATTTTGATATATAAGTAATTTAACTCGCAAGGTTTAGTTTTTTTGACAAAAATATATACATACATCGTTTTTAGTTGATATAATCAATACAGATCATAAGATTTGTTGAGTTTTTTATATAGTGATTAAGTTACAACTCAAACCCTTAAACTATTCGATGTTAATATCAATATTACTTTATTTTGTCCTTATATAATTGTACAATCAGGGTAAATTTTGTAGTATCATCTAGTATAGGCTATTCTACACCTGTATAATATAGTTTTTATATTTTTTTAAATGATACAGGTAACTTTTTGTTTGATGCATTGATTATATAATCCCTTTTAGTTTCGCTCACAGTCTAAGGGCATCCTCATTTATTATTTTAAAATCATTTTTCGGGGGCAATGATGCCAATATATAAGTAATTTAATGCCCAAGGTTTAGTTTTTTAACAGAAATATATACATACATCGTTTTGGGTTGATCTAATGAATAAAGTTCATAAGATTTATTGGGTATATATATATATATATATATATATATATATATATATATATTGATGAGTAATTTTGATTCTGATAGTAACACCAAGTAAAAAAACTAAAGTAGTTGTAAAAACTTTATTTAGCCATACACTTCGGTCTTCATCGAGACCATCATTCAGTGGAACAACTAAAGGATTTAATAAAAAATGTAGAAGGAAAATGATATAAAATTATAGACTATATATAAATACTTACAGAAAATTAATTACACAAAAATACACTGTAATAAACAGTATTACACAGTAATAAACCAAGTTATTAATAATTGGAACATTTAAAACTAATGATTTTTGTCAATTTTTTGTTACATTTCAATGTGTACAAAGCTATTGATATCTAAAAACTGAATGAACTGTGTTTACAAATTTGTTGTGAAAGTGTAAAAAGACTGGTAACCAAATGCTTTTCGTAAAATAATAAAATACACGCTTCAATCAGATTTCATGGAGTTTTGAAAAATGGTCAAGGATTATTTTATAGTCGTTGCAAAGCAAATTGTTGTCCGTTCTCTTATTTATGACTGTCTCGTTTTGTAATGATATTAGGCATCCTTCTTTACTTTAGTTTTTTTACGTGGTTTTGCTGCCCGAATCAAAATAACTTAACAAAATATCAGTTCTTGTAGGGTGATACATCAAAGAATAAAAAACAAAGATTTATAAATTAATCTTTAATTCCAAATGTTTTAACATTTAATTTAATGTCATCATCAGTGGATCTAAAAACAGTGTAAAAATTAATATATCAGGTAATTATAAGATTTGTGGATTGGTATAGAAACTATAAATATAAGAGAAAAATTAACATAATAGCAACACTTAACAACAAAGAGATAATAAGAGATAGTAAAGGTAATAAAGATAGAAACTAGATATTAAATAGAAATTAAAAAATTTAAAATTCACTGATGATGACATTAAATTGAATGTCACAGTTCGGGCGTAACGCTATTTCCGTTGCATTCTCACAGATTTACACCCTAGTCGCGCCTAAAGAAGTTTTACTTCAATAATAAGAACAAATTTATATAATATACAACTATTTTGTTTGGTAATTAATATGAAATTCAGTATATCAATAATTGATTAAGCAAAGGTTTGTCGTAATTGCACAAAACAAACAAATATATATTCAACATGGTATAATTTAATTCAACTAATAAATATTTATAGTGCAGAGAATGCTATAATGAATTTTATTTGTAGTAACTACAAAATTATTTCTACTTATTTGAAGATCATTTGTGAAGGTATATAAAAGATATGAAAGAATTATATAAGCAAAATTATTGAACAATTATCATTTAACATATTTTGCTATAATAATCTTGCTTATATGTTCTTTTCTACCTTTCAGATGATCTTCCGATTCTTAAGATGCAATACTAGCATGTGATGGACTTCTACAGCTTCATGAATGGCCAATTTTAAATCAGTACAGATACAATGAATTAATTTATATATTATTAAAGTTATTATTATTTATTTTCAGATCTAGTACACCGAAACCAATCTTTCACACCAATGGTCGCAAAAGTGGTTCACCTAGGAATCAACAAGAAGTTATAAGTCCGCACCATGAAGAAATTATTAGATATATTAATGAATGTAAGATTTATTAATTGTTTTTATGATTTCTTTTGATTTTAAAAATAATACATAATTTTATTGGTTTAGCTTGGAATCATATTGCAAATAGTCGTTTTGAGCCGTATAGTCCTGTCCACTCTGCTTCGTGTGAGTATATAAGAATTTTATTCATTTAATTACTATTTGGAGAAAATAATAATTTTGCATTTGTTTCAAATATTATATTAGTACTAGCATACGTTATACAGTGGTCCCCCGACTTACGAGCGACTTGACATACGAGTGTTTCGAGATATAAGCTGCCAAAGGGCGATTCGTAGTTTCGACATACGAGCAAAATTCGGGATACGAGCTTTGAGCAAGTAAGAGTTTTCTAGAAAAAGTTAATGGAAAAATGAAAATTTGAAAAATTTGCTAAGTTGTAATGATAGAAATATTTTGGTTGTGAAAATAGTAAATTATTTTATAGTTAGTCATTTCAATTATATTTTAATATTAATTGTGTAGTTACGATTTACCCATGCGAATATATCGATGATTATTTAAATGTTTGAAATTTCAACTATATATTAATAGTGATTGTATAGTTATATATATATATATATATATATATATATATATATATATATATATATATATATATATATTGAGTTCGCGTTGTTTGCTTTTTTTACATTTACAAAATATTATGCACTTTTATAACTATGGATCTAAAGAAAAGGGTTTGTTTGTGAAAAATGTTTTGTATTTAAACAGAAGGAGTTGATAAAGGGTATAACTTCTGAAAAAGGCCTTACAATAATTTATAAGCAGTCTTTTGAGTTCTAAAGTTTTGTGTATAAAAATTACCCTAAAAAAGTTGGAACAATTGGAGCATAGTTTATAGTTTGGTGAAAAGTCTTAAACATAAAGAAATTCCACCACTAAAAGCTTTATTGTACTTTACACAATAGGAGTTGTTTAATAAAACATTTCCACAATATCATGAATGGACAGGAAACAATAATAATTTCATTAATAAATAATAAATTTATTTTTAATACTCAAGAAACTTAACAAAAGCCATTGCACCAAGAAGAATTAATGACATTTCAATGTATTTACATATTGATGATTCGACATAAGAGCGTGGTTGCGGAACGAATTAAACTCGTATGTCAGGGTACCACTGTAATGAGGATTTGAGTTGCTCATTAATGATAAAAATAATATGGTCTGCATATTCAAAATTTATGTGCCAATTATTTTATGTGATTCGAAATCATGTTGCGTATTTCATTTATATATATATATATATATATATATATATATATATATATATTGTAATAAAATCATGTACATGAAACGATATCAAGGAGTGCTCACTATTATACTTTTCAACAGCTTCACCAGAACCTGCATCGACATTGTATTATGTGGATAGTCCAAACGCGATTATGCAAAACTTTAAGCCTTTCGATTTGGAATCATGGTGGGGCCGAAGACTATTTCACAATATAACGAAAACGTTATAAATTTGTACTAGTAATGTGTAGATATTATATCTGATTGATGCTAATTCCATCTCATAGATATCATATTATGAAAAAGAACACTTTACTGTCTGTTAAAAGACAGATTTGTGGGATATCATTTGACCTTTTACAATATCCAAAAGGTATTGTGGTTTTATTGTTTTTCTGATAAAACAAGAAGCTGAACCACCAGAATACCATGTCATTTGCCACAGTAGCAATTTAAACGATTGTAGCATTGATTGACATGTGAAAATTCATTCGAAACACTTCAGTAACAACAACATTGATTGTTTTGATTATATTACATAATGTTGGTTTCATTATGTAATATAGCTTCTTTGTAGAAATACATAAAGAGACTCTGAAATTTCCGTCTCACGGTTTGGCGAAAGATGAAGATGATCAAAATATCTTCAGATTGTGTGAGGTTTGTGCAGTATGTTCAATTAGCTACAGTTAATGAGGTTGAAGTTTAGAGTTTTTGATATTATGATTATCGCTAACTTTTATAAAAATTCCAAAACTTAAATTTTATAAAAACTGGTGGTAATGACACATTCATGATATGATTATTAGGATTCTTGAGATACTCAAAAACATTTCATAGTATGATATGAGATATTGTACAAAAGAGCATTTGTCAATAAACTTGTTGTAGCTTGAATACCACAGTGTTGTATTTTTTAACATAGCAGTAATTGTAGTTTTATAAAATGATTGTGTTAATAATAATTAAGACAATACGATTTGTATTTAGGTGTCGCGAACTACAAATGTTCTGATAATAATTAATTTGAATTTACTATGAGGGCTTTTTAAAATTTTTTGAATTACAAGAATTCGATCCAACTGCATTCTAAAAAAATAGATGTCATTTCGGATGCCTCAAAATGGATTAAAGTGGTACCCCAACTTACGTGTGACCTGACATACCAGTATTTCGAGAAAAATGTTTATAGCAAAATGAAAATATGAAAATTTTCGTCAGTTGTAACAATGGTTTTGTTACCATAGAAATATTTTGGCTGTGGAAAATCTGAGGATGACGGGGTTGTACTAGCGTAAAACATCACAGATTTTTATTTATTTATTTATTATTTGTCTTTACAAACAAATATCACAGATGTGTACTGTGTTTAAACAAAAGGAGTTGATATAGGGTATAACTCCAGCTAAGGGCATTACAATGATTTATAAGTACAATTTACAATGATTTATAAGTAGTTTTTATGGAGCCTGAGCTCCATAAAAATCACCCCGAAAAAGTTGCAACAGTTCGAACATCAGAATGGTTCAACGAAATATATCCAACTTATTTTCGCAATATTATGAATAACACAAAAAACAATAATTAATTTATTAAATAGTAAATTTAATTTTAATATTCAACAAACTTAACAAAAACGACTGTGCTGGAGCGTATCAATGGTATTTATGTGAGGAAAATTGCTTCGCAATACGAGCAATTCAACATACGAGCGTGGTTACGGAACGAATTGAACTCGTTTGTCGGGGTACCACTGTATTTGTAAAAATCGAAATCAAAATATAATTTAGAACTACTAATCCACCAGATTTGCTGCTGAGTTAGTTGCATATATTATATTGACTTATTTATCTACTGTATATATTTATAAGATCTATAGAACCATATTCAATAAGATTTTTGTTCTTAAGAAAATATGCTATTTAATACGCACTATCGATTATTAGCTAAAGGATGGACATTTTTCCGCCGAATTAACAAAATCTGTATGTATTATTTTTTAATAGATTTAAAGTCTACTCCTGTGTTAGCAGCTTTTGTGATGGCTACATAAACATTATATGGTTCCGGGGATAAGCAAGTAAGTAATTAATAATTTATTATTATATTTGTAAATATTATTATATTATATTTGAACAGCAGTTAGAACAAGATATACTCCATGGGCTGTTGTGGATGTGAATTCTTAACTTACAATTGTTAGTGTTATTAGAGTGCGACCATTATCTATCTAATAAGATTTCTAATTAGATTTTGATTTAATACTGATGAAATATATATCGTAGAAATGCCCCTGAAAAGCTATATTTAATTTATATTATATTTTACCTAGAATCGTAATGGAAAATATAATATCACTACTGCTTGATATTAATATGGCCGATACGTGTATCGAACACGGAGCCAGTAGTTGCTAGACTACGATTTTAGGTGGTTAAGTAGTTCCATAGTTTTTGGAGAAGCGTGATAAAAATGCTATTAAATAAGATTTTTTATCTTAGAGCGATTCCAATAAGATTTCAGTGAGAATCATGTAAGTATTTTGATGATTCTAATTGGTTCTAATCCATTGATAATTATTTTTGATACGGAACCTATGAATTCAGTAAATATTACCTATATTGTTAAAATCCATATAACAAATATGATAATATAATATATATGCCCATGTAAAATATTTATTTTGATCCTTTGGCAAACTATTTTTGCTCTTGCTGGTTAGTCAGGCGCAATCAAAAATCAATCAGCACCTGCATTTATTTCAAAAATTTAAAAGCCATTTGATGAAACTTGCTCAGGACTCGGAATGAAAATATTTTTCGTCAACATTTTCGCCAAAAATTTATAGACTAGGGGCCGTCCATTAATCACGTGATCGATTTTCAAGGATTTTTAGACCCCATCTTCTTCCTTGGTGGTACGTGGTGATATTTAAAATTTGCTTCATCCTCCCACCCAACATCACGTGTATTTTAGAAAAAAATTGCAAAATTTTTGGATTTTTTTTTAGAAGTTTTTGTTTTTTTTAGAAATTTTTGTTTTTTTTTGTTTAAATTCAGGTAAAAAATAAATAAACGTGATATCTTACTAGACCCTCCTTTCTCACGTGATATTTTTTTATATTTTGCCAAAACCTCTTTTTAAGCCTCACGTGATTAATAGATGCCCCCTAGTTGATTGGATACGAATTTTTAGCTTAGTCTATTAATCACGTGATCAATTTTTGAGGATTTTTGGACCCCACTTTCTTCCTTGGTGGCACGTGATGATATTCAAAATTAGCCACCTCCCACCTAACATCATCACGTGTATTTTTAGTACCTAGAAAAAATCTTATTTTTTTTAATTGTTTTTATTTTCCTTTTAATTCTGGTAAAAACAAACAAATGTGATATCTTAATAGACCCTTCGTCCCCACGTGATATTTTTTTATATTTTGCCAAAACCATCCCCCCCCCCCTTTTAAGCCTTACGTGATTAATGGATGGCCCTTAGTTGATAGTATGGGATCTTTGTTATTCTTGCATGGTTTAAATTAACCATATCATTGACGTAATATGAGCTTCACGTGGTCTAGTGATTAGAGCTATGGGAACTCGATTAGAAGTTTCAGGTTTGATACTCGTCTTAGACAGCCTGTTATCAAACAGCAGTGACATCAGGTTTTACTTGGAAATATAGATAGCAATATGTGTCCAAATCGAAATAGCCTTTGTTTGACATTGTTGCACCAATAAACAATTTTGTTAGTATTGTAGAAATTGTAATAATAAATCCATCAATTAGAGACAGGTCAACCGTTGGGTTGTCTTCTGAAAAAGCGAAGTAGTTAAATCACATCATCACAACAGCTTATAGTATCCTTAAGTCCTGATCAAATTACCAAAAAAATTGAGATGTGTGTGCTTTGATATGTTTTATATATTTGGTTCAATTCTAAATGATAAACTAGTGGTGTATGGCATCGTGCCTTAAGGCAAATTGCTGGAACTTCTCGTACCGTAACGAAATGTTCAAGGTATATTAAATGTTTTCAAATAGATTAAGTATGAATATCGTAACTATATAAACTGAATTGCAAAGTGGAAATTATTTGTTTAAAGTATATTAGAACTTTAGTCAGAATTAAGAATAAAATCTGAATTATTTTCGATATACAAAAAAAAAAAAATTCTTGAAAAAAAAAATTGAAACAATTTTTTTCCAAAAGCAATTATTTTGTTAAAACAAGCAGAAAGTTCTTTGAATCATTCAAAATGGACCTACCTTTGCCTTAAACTAATTACCTCTTCTCTTAATCATTACAAATTGAATGTTTTTCAGATCATTTAAATCGGATACTCCGTTCTCTCAAAAACTCGATTTGTATTTTCTGCACTCTTTGCTCCGTATCTCCGTAACGGCTGGACCTGCCTTTGTCAGAAACTAATCAGCACATCTCCGTATCAATAGGAATCGAATGTTTTTTGAACCCGAAAACGTGGACGAAAAAATGCGGACATACAAAACACACACACACATCCATTTTTTCTGAGGTATGCCAAAATGTTCAAAAACCTTCAAAACGTGAAAATATGCAAAAATTTACATTTTCGATCTTCGGTCCATTACTATAACTACCCTACGGGAAGTTAATAATTACAGTTATTCCTTCGATTCGTGGCGTGACCGTTTTGGATTGTTTGCTACATACATTCTATTATTAGATATAATCTTATTTATATATGTTTTTATCGATCCTTATAATATTTATATTATAAAACTGCAAAAGCGAAATGTCTAATTTGGCCTTTGCGTGGCCAAGGTGGGAGAGTCGACGCCGGCTCACCATAAGGACCGGCAGCAGCCTGATCAGTCCAGTTCGCGAGCGCCTTCAATCGAGTCGGCTATCTCTAGGCTATCGTATTTAAATCTCAGTGCGGGCTCAAAAAATTTTAATCGAACTAACCGAATAAACTAAAGATTGGTGCATTTCACAAAACATTTTAAATAAGTTACAATGGCGGATCCGGCCAGGCAAGTACTTTTCTGTGATTTTGTGTGATGTGAGCAAACTGGAGTATATACTTTAGATATAAATATTCTGGATCGACTTACACTTAATCTTTTCAATGTGATCACCAAAATTTGATATATATTTCTTATTTACGTCTCTGACTATTATGGAAACATTTTGTGATTGTTTAGTTATCTTCATCATATGGCTTTCCTAGTTATGGCATCTTTTTTTGCTATACTTGAACTGCAAAATTTGATATATTCTCCTGATAAATTTTATTTGTTCTAAGTGTTGATAAATATATTTCTCATTGATTTGAGCCTATTTTAATAATTATGGCGTTTCCTGCCAGAGGTGGAATTTGTAGAATAAAATCCTAAACATTTGTTCTTTATTTTTATCGCACTAATAATCTGAACGAAGATTGCAACTACTATTTCCTTTTCGACAAATGCATTTTTAATAAAAATGTGTAGCACATAAAAATTATCTTACATAGTTAATATACGATTAGTCATTTTCCTTTATCCTTGTAAATAAATATGTTGTGTGATATCTGCATGAGAGATTTTTAAGTATAATTATATCTTGTTTTCCAAATCTTTAAAAATATAATTTGATTCGATTTTCTGGCAGAAGAATTCTGAAGAATTTTAATTTAAAATGTTGAAGGGTTTTTGTCTTGCCAAATATTTAATAATTAATTTTTAAATAATTGCTATTTGTAATTATAAATAAGTAATAATATACTTTACAAAAATACCTAGCAAATACCAATTAAAAAGGAATATAAAAGTCTATTTGCTTAATTTGATTGGCAGACAAAATTAAAACATGATAAAAGTAACAAACACTTGATTTTATATTAACAATTTTTAATAATTTGCAAATATAATGACAACATTTTCCTATTGTTGATAAATATTCGTTAGTCACCAATTCAATTTTTGTATCGATTTTTGTTTGTAACAACTAAAATATGATTTTTCTCATTTAATTAAAACATTCGTTATTAACGATTGAAAACTTGCGACTTTAAATAAAAATAAAACAGTCTATTTGTTTAATTGGATTGGCACTCAAAATCATAAACATGACAAAAATAACATACAACTTATTTTACATGAGCAATTTATTATAATTTTAATTTCAGTTGTTTGCAAACATTATTATTGCTTTTTCAAAAAAATTTTGTTTGTATTTCGAAAATATTTCAGATTTTGATTTTAATTCTGGCCAAAGTTCTAAAGCTCACTTTTGAAAACATTTAATATTCTTCGAATATTTCGTTACGATACGGGAAGTTCCAACAATTTGACTTAAGGCACGATGACATACACCACTAGTTTTGATAAATGTTTATTAGTCACTTATTAGTCATTTATAATAGCTAAGATACGATTTTTCTTTTTTAATTGAAACACTTATTATTAGGTGATTCAATTCTTATAATATATAATTTGATGCGATTTTCTGGCAAAATCTTATATTTATTAAAAATAACAAACAACTGAGCAATTAATTAATTTCAACGATATATTAATTGCATTTCCTTATTTTTGATAAATGTTAATTAGTCACCCATTTAATATTCGTATTGTTTTTCTTACTTAATAAACTAAGATACGATTGTTCTTATTTAATTAGAACACTCGTTATTAGGTGATTCATTTTTTCTAGACGCGATTTTCTGGCAAAGTCTTATATTTATTATAAACAACTGAGCAATTAAGTATTTTCAACAATTTGCAAACATAATGATTGCGTTTCCCTATTTTTGATAAATGTTCATTAGTCACCCATTCTTATTGTTTTTCTTATTTAGTGTTTTATAACGATTGTTCTTATTTAACTCGCTATTAGGTGATTCATTTCTTCTAGACGCGATTTTATGGCAAAATCTTATATTTATTATAAACAATTGAATAATTAATTATTTTCAACAATTTGCAAACATATTGATTGCATTTCCCTATTTTTGATAAATGTTCATTACTTACCCATTCAATTTTCGTATTGTTTTTCTTATTTAATACAACTAAGATACGATTGTTCTTATTTAATTAAAACACTTGTTATTAGGTGATTCATTTCTTCTAGCGATTTACTGGCAGAATATTATATTTATTATAAACAATTGAACAATTAATTATTTTTAACAATTTGCAAACATATTGATTGCATTTCCCTATTTTTGATAAATGTTCATTAGTCACCCATTCAATATTTGTGTTGTTTTTCTTATTTATTAAACTAAGATACGATAGTTCTTATTTAATTAAAACTCTCGTTATTAGGTGATTCATTTCTCCTAGACGCGATTTTATGGCAAAATCTTATATTTATTATAAACAATTGAACAATTAATTATTTTTAACAATTTGCAAACATATTGATTGCATTTCTCTATTTTTAATAAATGTTCATAACTCACCCATTTAATTTTCGTATTGTTTTTCTTATTTAATACAACTAAGATACGATTGTTCTTATTTAATTAAAACACTTGTTATTAGGTGATTCATTTCTTCTAGCGATTTACTGGCAGAATCTTATATTTATTATGAACAATTGAACAATTAATTATTTTTAACAATTTGCAAACATATTGATTGCATTTCCCTATTTTTGATAAATGTTCATTAGTCACCCATTCAATATTTGTGTTGTTTTTCTTATTTATTAAACTAAGATACGATAGTTCTTATTTAATTAAAACACTTGTTATTAGGTGATTCATTTCTTCTAGCGATTTACTGGCAGAATATTATATTTATTATAAACAATTGAACAATTAATTATTTTTAACAATTTGCAAACATATTGATTGCATTTCCCTATTTTTGATAAATGTTCATTAGTCACCCATTCAATATTTGTGTTGTTTTTCTTATTTATTAAACTAAGATACGATAGTTCTTATTTAATTAAAACTCTCGTTATTAGGTGATTCATTTCTCCTAGACGCGATTTTATGGCAAAATCTTATATTTATTATAAACAATTGAACAATTAATTATTTTTAACAATTTGCAAACATATTGATTGCATTTCTCTATTTTTAATAAATGTTCATAACTCACCCATTTAATTTTCGTATTGTTTTTCTTATTTAATACAACTAAGATACGATTGTTCTTATTTAATTAAAACACTTGTTATTAGGTGATTCATTTCTTCTAGCGATTTACTGGCAGAATCTTATATTTATTATGAACAATTGAACAATTAATTATTTTTAACAATTTGCAAACATATTGATTGCATTTCCCTATTTTTGATAAATGTTCATTACTCACCCATTCAATTTTCGTATTGTTTTTCTTATTTAATACAACTAAGATACGATTGTTCTTATTTAATTAAAACACTTGTTATTAGGTGATTCATTTATTCTAGGCGCGATTTTCTGGCAGAATCTTACATTTATTATAAACAATTGAACAATTGATTATTTTTAACAATTTGCAAACATATTGATTGCATTTCCCTATTTTTGATAAATGTTCATTACTCACCCATTCAATTTTCGTATTGTTTTTCTTATTTAATACAACTAAGATACGATTGTTCTTATTCAATTAAAACACTTGTTATTAGGTGATTCATTTCTTCTAGCGATTTACTGGCAGAATCTTATATTTATTATAAACAATTGAACAATTAATTATTTTTAACAATTTGCAAACATATTGATTGCATTTCCCTATTTTTGATAAATGTTCATTAGTCACCTATTCGATATTCTTATTGTTTTTCTTATTTATTATTTTATAACGATTGTTCTTATTTAACTCGTTATTAGGTGATTCATTTCTCCTAGACGCGATTTTATAGCAAAATCTTATATTTATTATAAACAATTGACCAATTAATTATTTTCAACAATTTGCAAACATATTGATTGCATTTCCCTATTTTTGATAAATGTTCATTAGTCACCTATTCGATATTCTTATTGTTTTTCTTATTTATTGTTTTATAACGATTGTTCTTATTTCACTCGTTATTAGGTGATTCATTTCTCCTAGACGCGATTTTCTGACAAAATCTTATATTTATTATAAACAATTGAACAATTAATTATTTTCAACAATTTGAAAACATATTGATTGCATTTCCCTATTTTTGATAAATGTTCATTACTCACCCATTCAATTTTCGTATCGTTCTTTATTTGTTTGTAATAACTATGATACGCCTTTTCTTGTTTAATCAAAACAATTGTTATAAACAACAGCCAAGATATAAGAAATTAATAATAAATGCCTTTTGTTTTCTTTTAAAACCGATAACTTCGGAGTTTTCGATGCATTCTCTTACAGGTATTATACGAGTCTATAAACAATTTTGATATGATAGTTTATCAAAATTTCCTATAATTTTTAATTCGATTTTCTGCAATAAAAGAGCGTGTCGAACTGAAAATTGAACATTAAGCTTCTGGCTTTCTTTGAAGTAACTTCTAAATATTTTCAATAAGTCTAATAATAAATAATTATTGCATTTGCATATTTTAGTGAAGTAGTTGGTTTGCTTAAAAAGCAAACATGAGTACGAAGAAATGTAAGTACTTTTTAACTTTATTTAGCGTTTTATTTCAAAATTATTTTTACTGGACTAAATATAATAATATTTTGGTAACTTTAATTTTTTTATATTTCTCAACGCTTACGTTTTTGGAATCTTTTTGTAAAACGGACTCATTTATAATAAAAGATGCGTTTTTTTTAAGATGCAATTAATACCAAAAAAGATTTTAATTATTGTCCCAAATTTTTTTCTGGCTATTGTATCTTCAGTTTCTTCCCAAGTAATACTAATTTATTTATAAAATTCTGTCGATATTATGTTTTTTTATTCTGAAATATTTTTTTGAAGAAAGTTTGAATGTAGTTTCAAATGTTTCTAAATCGGTAGAATTTCTTAAATGGAACAATAATTAGAAAATTTTAACTAATACTAAACGTACATACTAAATTTATAAAATTGTATGTAATATATCATAAATTTTTAT